TGTGGCTGTTATAGTTTGTTTTGTGGATCGCCACGAAATGGCTGTACCACCACAAGTGAACAAATATCCTGTCTGAGATCTACCATTGTGAGGATCTGAAAGATATCCTGCATCTGCATATCCCACTAAATCCATCTTCGATGCACTCGAATAGAACAAGCCCATATCTGTCGTTCCTCGAAGGTAACGGAGTAAATGTTTAACTCCATTCCAATGTCTTTTAGTGGGAGAAGAGCTATATCTTGCCAATATATTCACAGCAAACGATATATCGGGTCGTGTATGACTGGCTAGATACATTAATGCTCCTATCGCACTAAGATATGGCACTTCAGGGCCAAGCAGATCTTCATCACTTTCTCGAGGTCTAAATGGATCTCTTTTCACATCAAGTGATCTTACAACCATTGGATTACTCAACGGGTGTGATTTGTCCATATAAAATCTCTTAAGCACCTTTTCAACATATCCTTCTTGATGCACAAAAATACCATCCTTCAAATGTTCAATCTGTAATCCAAGACAAAACTTTGTTCTTCCTAAATCTTTCATTTCAAACTCTTTCTTCAAGCAATCAACTGCTTTTGGAAGCTCTTCGAGAGTTCCAATGATGTTTATGTCATCAACATAAACTGATATTATAACAAACTCACTACCCGATCTCTTTAGAAAAACACATGGACAAATAGGGTCATTCTTGTATCCTTCTTTCATCAAATATTCACTGAGACGATTGTACCACATTCGTCCAGATTGTTTCAATCCATACAAGGATTTGTTCAATTTGATAGAAAATTTTTCTCGAGAATGTGTTTTGTTTGCTTCTGGCAAAGTGAATCCTTCAGGGAGTTTCATATATATATCATTCTCAAGTGATCCATACAAATAGGCTGTCACAACATCCATTAGACGCAGATCTAGTCCTTCTCGGACTGCTAGACTAATCAAGTATCGAAACGTAGTTGCATCCACCACAGGGGAGTATGTCTCCTCATAATCAATGCCAGGTCTCTGTGAGAATCCTTGTGCGACAAGACGTGCTTTATATCTCACGACTTCACCCTTTTCATTTCTTTTCCGCACAAAAACCCATTTGTATCCCACTGGCTTTACGTTTTCTGGTGTAAGGACTACCGGTCCAAAAACCTTTCGCTTTGAAAGCGAGTTTAATTCCGCCTCAATGGCCTCTTTCCACTTTGGCCAATCATCTCTTGATTTGCATTCATCAATAGATCTTGGTTCATGATCCTCATTTTCATTCATCACACTCAACGCTGCAGCGTAAGCAAAAACATCGTCGACGATTATTTTACTTCGGTTCCAACATTTTCCATCCAAGACATAATTGATTGAGATCTCTTCATTATCAAAACTCTCAGGTACCTGATGTTCTTCGGGAACTACAATCTTAGTTATGCTTGGGGACTCTTCTTGAGCTTTCATATCCTCGATTTGATCAACTTGATTCATAGCTCCTTTTCTTTTTCGAGGATTTTTATCCTTGGAACCTACTGGTCTACCACGCTTCATTCGTGGTTTAGATTCATTTGCAATTTCAGATTGTCCAACAGGGACATCAACTTTCACTGGAGCATTTACAGCTGGTATGTGTGACTTTATCACTCTTTTCTGGTCAGTAAACGAATCCGGCAGTTGGTTTGCTAAACCTTGTAAATGAATTATCTTTTGAACTTCCAGTTCACATTGTCTAGTACGAGGATCAAGGTGAGATAATGATAATTCATTCCAACAAATATCTTTTCCCAGCTGTTTGTTCTCACCCCCTAATGTTGGAAAAACTGATTCGTCAAAATGACAATCAGCAAAACGAGCAGTGAATAAATCTCCCGTCAAGGGTTCTAAGTATTTTATGATTGACGGAGACTCATATCCAACATAAATTCCCAACCTCCTTTGAGGACCCATCTTAACACGCTGTGGTGGAGCAATAGGGATGTAGACGGCACACCCAAATATTTTTAGATGGGAAATATTAGGTTCCTGACCAAAAACCATTTGCAAGGGGGAAATTTCATGATAACTTGTTGGCCTTATGCGAATTAATGTTGCCGCATGCAATATAGCATGTCCCCAACAAGATATTGGCAAGCTTGTTTTCATAAGCAATGGTCTTGCAATAAGTTGCAAACGCTTAATGAATGATTCTGCAAGGCCATTTTGTGTATGAACATGTGCTACAGGATGTTCAACATCAATCCCAGTGGACATACAATAGTCATTGAAAGTTTGTGAAGTAAATTCACCAGCATTATCTAGACGTATTTTCTTGATTGGAAAATCAGGAAAATGTGCTCGTAGTCGTATCAATTGGGCAAGTAATCTAGCAAACGCCAGGTTGCGAGTTGATAGTAAGCACACATGTGACCATCTAGTTGATGCATCAACTAAAACCATAAAATATCTAAATGGTCCACATGGTGGGTGAATTGGCCCGCATATATCACCCTGTATACGTTCTAAAAATGTGAGAGATTCACTCCTTACTTTCACAGGTGATGGCCGTATAATCAACTTGCCACGAGAACATGCAACACATGGTACATCTTTAAACTGATAAATTTTGTGACCTTTCATTGGATGTCCACATGTATTGGCAATGATTTTCCGCATCATAATCAATCCGGGATGGCCTAACCGCTCATGCCAAACTATAAAATTATCAAGATTTGTAAACTTCTGGTTTACCACTGCATGTGTTTCAATTGTACTAATAAACGTGTAGTACAACCCAGAAGAAATAGCAGGCAATTTCTCCAATATGTATTTTTTATCGGAGACCATATTTGTTATCATAATATACTCTTTATTCTCTTCTTCCTTTGTCTCAATATGATATCCATTTCGGCGAATATCTTTGTAACTCAATAAATTTCTTTGAGACTTTGAAGAGTATAAGGCTTCATTGATATACAACTTGGTTCCTTCTGGTAACAATACACTAGCTCTTCCGGAGCCTTCAATTAGATTTGTACTTCCAGATATAGTACTAACATTTGCTTCTCGCATTTCAAGATGAGAAAAATATTTCTTATCCTTCAAGATTGTATGTGTCGATGCACTATCAATAAGACACACATCATGGTTTTTGATCTTGGTGCCAAGCATGGGAATATTCATTCTTCACAAAAGATAGAAAGTAAATCAATATAAGAAAATATCTCCAAATAAATATAAAAATAATGACATGATTATAATGGATGAAATTTAACCACATAAGGATTATAAAGAGAAATTATATTAAACTGACAAATTAATAGGAAAAACACACTTAAGGAAAACGACAAAGAAGGTGAAATTTCAAATGGGAAATCTACATTTTTCACTTGTGAACAAAGCGACAACGAAATAGAAATTTCAAATGAAAATGCTAAGTTTTTCACTTGCGAACATTTCCATCACCAATCAGGTGATCTATTTTTCCTTCAGGGTGGGCAAAGAAGTCTGACACATCTAGATGAGTAGCATCATTATAGTCTTTTCCTGGATCATCTTCCTCAAAAATACAATTGGTTTCTATCTTCTTCCCTTTCAATGATTCTTGGTAGAGGTTAACCAAGTGTTTTGGCGTACGACAGGTACGAGACCAATGACCTTTTCCACCACAACGGTAACACACATTTTCGACGTGTTTGTTACCATGAACACTTTGTTCCTTGCTTCTTCTACCATCATTTTTTCCACTTCTGGGGAAAAATGAGCCTTTGGAACTTTCACCACGGCCATTACCACGACCAAGATCTCGGCCACGGCCACGGCCTCGAGCATGACCACGCCCACGTCCTCGTCCATGTCCGCGTCCATGTCTTTGCCCATAAGGATATTGGGTGAACGTCGCCGCATTCGCTTCTGGGAATGGGGCGGCACCAGTAGGACGAGATTGGTGATTTTTCATTAGGAGCTCATTATTTTGTTCAGCAACAAGGAGACAAGAAATCAGCTCAGAATATTTCTTGAAACCTTTCTCACGGTATTGCTGCTGCAGGAGCACATTGGATGCATGAAAAGTGGAGAATGTTTTTTCCAACATATCTTCATCAGTAATATTTTCTCCACATAACAGTAGTTGTGAGGTTATTTTGAATAGCTCTGAATTATAATCACTCACAGATTTAAAATCTTGTAACCTCAAATGCATCCAATCATAACGAGCCTTAGGAAGAATCACAGTTTTTTGGTGGTCATACCGCTCCTTCAAATTAGTCCACAAAACAAGTGGATCTTTGATCGTAAGATACTCATTCTTCAATCCCTCGTGGAGGTGATGTCGAAGAAAGATCATTGCTTTAGCTTTGTCTTGATCTGATGCTTCATTGCCCTCTTTAATCGTGTCTCCAAGACCGTTGGCAGCTAAATGAATTTCAGCATCTAGCACCCATGATAGGTAATTCTTTCCAGTGACATCAAGAGCCACAAACTCAAGCTTTGAAAGATTCGACATACTATCATAAAAATATACACAAATTAAAGTTAAAATTCAATAAATAAATATAGATTACTATCAAGACAAACAACTTATGTGACCCATGATATATCAATTTGATATTTTTACAAATATATAAATAAATTCGAATTTCACAAATAAAATAATATATTAAGAAGGAAATTATACCTTTGCATTCTCAAACAAAGATTTCATGTGTTGATTAATAAAGGAAATTATGTAAATTGAAATAGGACAATAAAAGAAACAATTTGGGAGAATTGACATACCTTGAGCAGAACAAATATGGATTTAACCTTTTCAAAAGGAAGAGTCTCGTGCTGATAACGTGTTATAAAGCTAGTGGAAATGTAAGCAACTATAAGAGAAGATTGGAGGAGGAAAGACACAAGAGAAGTGAGGGGAATAATTCTTCTTATTCATACACCATTTGTGATACAATAGTGTGCTCTATTTATAGGCACCCTTTGGTAACCATTACATCAATGCATATGAATTAGAGATAATAATATAGGAATGGGAGTTACATGTAACTCCCAAGTGAGCATCTAATGTGGTAGGTCATTGGTCATCCAAATATAAATATTTACATAATACAATTAAGGAAAGGATTATTATATATACACATCACACATGTCAAAACAATACGAAAATAGTAGGTTGCAAGAGTGCTACAAATGGGCCGAAATCAGAAGTACAGAACTACTAGCTAGCACTCTCCTCCTTTGTTCTCCTGGAAACAAAAGAGTTGGTGCGAGTAATATTATCAATCACGAGGTTTGCCAGAAACAGCAGCATTATCAGCAGCAGCAGCAGGGGTGGAGGCATCTTGCTGTTGAGGAACGTGATCGATTGATTTAGAGTGGGAGTGGGAATGAGAGTGAGAGTGGCCGTGCCTCTTGAACACATTGGTGAAGCCCAAATACTTCTTGAACTTCCTGAACACACCCGGCTGGTGTTTCTGCCGCGCGTTCGGGTCCGAACCGCCCTCCTTTTCTTCTTCCTCCCCTACTGCTGGTGATTCCGGTTCCTCTTCCTCTTCTTGTGCTGCTGCTCTTGCAGGAGACTCCTTGCCTTGCTCATCCTTCCTCCCACCTATTTTGACAACCACCAATTATTAATTAAACACATTTTGCGGTTAACCACATCCAGAAATATAGAATAGAATTATGCTACCCACAACCAGCATAGCAGTGGATTGTGGTTAACCACTATCTACAACGAGTTGAATGTGAATACCCGCAAAAGTTCAATTATTGAATATACTAATATAATAATTAAATATTAATGTTTAGTTCTTCTCACACAAAAACAAAAACCTACATAAAAAAAATTATAAAGTGTTAAATAAACTATAAACCACATTTATTGACTTGATTTTGTTATAAAATAAACATATACCACACGAACAATGTTTATTTAATAAAAGTATTTCACACGAACCATGTGTAATGACTTGGTTTTGTTTTATAAATTAAGTGTATATTTGTTTTTAGATGCTACTTTGATTTTTAGCCTTCCACTTTTTACATACTATAATATTACAAAGTATTATTAATAAATAAATAAATTTAGTGTGATTATTGTGAGTTTGGTAGATTAACCTCTATGGTGTTTTAACCACCAACCACAAAAATCAATATTTTGCTATCCACACCCAACTCACTATACTATCCACAACTTATGGGTATGGTTAGTGGTTACCCACAAAGTGTACGGATTGGTGCAATTTACAGGTTACTCGCACCCCGCAAACCAAACTATCACCTCTAGGCTCTAGTTGAGACACCACGTAACCCTATGGCGTCCACTTACCATACCTCTTTGGAATGAGTTGGGTTGGGCTGGGCCAGAGGTGACGATAATTGTGCAGTTTGATTTGGTTGGTAGTAAGCTTGGCCCAAAAAGAAGTGAAGTGTGTGTGCCTTTGCGGGACTATGGAGATGGACTGGCCAATACTGAGCTGTCTAGGCCTTGCTAACTAACTTTTCTATGGGACAGGCCTTAAGCTCTACTCAATTTTTGCCAAACGAGGCGTGAATATCTACCTTAGAGATTCAATCAAAACTGAAGCCTCCTAGAACTAGTCGGTTTATCTACATGATTGCACATATCCACAGAATGCAGCAACACAGTCAACATAACAATCCATCAAACTGTCTAGCATTCAATTACCGTCAGTTGCACTGTCAACGGGAGCAGTGGTAGTGGTGGTGGCAGCTGCAGTAGGAGCTGCACTGGCAGTGGTAGTCGTGGCTGCAGTTGGATCTGCATCGGCAGTCGTAGCGGCAGCCGGAGCATGAGTCACACTGGCAGCTGCAATGGTTGTGGTAGTAGCAGCGGGTGGATCCACAGCCGCATTTGCCGTACTGGCTCCTTCTGGTGACCCCAACAGTGCCGGCTTTCTTTGCCAGTACTGTTCAAGTCGCTGCCTTGCATATTCCAAGTAATCAAAATCGATCTTGTTGACGTGCTCCTGTGTTAAAAACGAAGCACAAAGACAGAAAAAAGAAAAACATGAGTAACTGGACAACACGTTTAAAGGTGAATGTACTGGTTAATAAAATTCTTATATACTCCAGCTATATATCAACGCCATATAGACGTTTGTAGCTTCGCAACTCAAATCCATCAAGGTAAAAAAAAATTACTTTTAAAAGCAATTGAGAGAGAATTTACCGATATTATGCCCCACAAGCCCCAAAACAGATGGCTTCCAAGTGTAAATTTTTCAACATCTCTAAGAAACTGTTCCGCCTCTTTGTCACCAGGTTTCTCCGCTGCACACAGAGCTCACAGTTTCAGAAGTTAAAAATGGTAGAACTGGAGCTGAAAATTCTCATATATTTCTTCATTACAGAAAGTTAACCATCACTGTCATTCAAGTGAATAATGTTTATGGTATTCGCAGTATCCTAAAACTCCCATTGCATGAGAAAAATGAGGAGGTTCAACATCATACTCATTCTACAAACATCTGATACCGCCCAAAATATATCAAAACTAAAAGAGCTAATCAGTCCCAGTGATTATGATTATTTAAGATTCAGAAAGATAAAATTACTACCTGAAGCAATCAGATATGCATGCACAAACCTTCGGCGCTCCTCCAGACCTGTTAAGCTTTCAGGTTAACTGACTGCCATAAGGACGGCAAAAAGATATTAAGGAGTAACTAAACTATTAGTGTGTTTCAAACCAGGGTATTTAGTGTAGTCCACAACATGGGGTGTATCTGTATGGTAGTCAGCAGTCATCTCACAAAAATGATTTGCTAAATCGAAGGCAACAGGATTGTAACTTGCATACTCATAATCCTGTGAGGTATAGAAAGCAAATTACTGAGTATCATTGGTAAAATATCTTAAGGTAAAATCGTGGAAAGAATAAGTGGAGCATTTGAAATTCCAAACAAAAATGACAGGAAAATGTCATCCAGATATTCATCATGTTCTCGGAACAATACCATCTTTCAACCACTATTTGCCATAACTGATGTCAAGCATTTAAGCAATGCTTGCTGACTCATCACAATTCCAGTTGCAGCTTTCCTTCTCCGCTCACATTTTGTTTCATAAGTTCAAGACTCAAGGAAACTTAGCCACCAAAGAAGTGAAAATGAACAGAAAATAGAAAGCACAACATTCATGGTGTGAGACAGTTCTTGAAGCAAAAAAGAAGCTGGAAATCAGAATTCGAAGCCAAGAGAGTCACATCTGAGTAACCCGGTTTAGATACATTCAACCAAGTCAGCCTTGTATGTTGAACATCTTAATATAGCAATGTCATACCATAGAAGTCTAAGCCAATCCGACCAAAGCAAGATGGGAGAAACACCAATGAATTATGTGCATAACAGGGGAGAAGGAGAAAAGTTTGAAGACTTACAATTATGGTGATTGCTTTGGTTTCTTCATCAATCATTATGTTACCATACTGGAGATCATTATGACAAAATCCAATAGGCTGATCAATGGAGAGATTCTTCTCAAGTAATGTGATTTCCTCATCAATTTCATCCAAGCGAAAGGCTTTAGCTTCATCTGGAGAACACATATCCTTCGCCACTTTGAGCCAATTTCTGAATCATCCACAAATTTCAGGTAAAGTTCTTAACTTTAATCAAAACAATAGTTAATGGGGTCGGAATAGACAGCAAAATACTTATGACAGCAACGAACAAAGAGCAAAACGCACCTTAGTCTATCCCAGAGATGGACAACCTTTTGACCAGGCAAATCAAGGCCATGAAACTCCTTCATTTTGGCTGCTATAAGTACTGAAATCTCTGGATCACGCAGATCAGGAGCAGATAGCGTCTGAACATCACATTTGAAGAAAAACATATTATATTTGTCTGCGTCAGTCATATTGCATTAATTGTTTGAGCTGCTCAGGTCCATCAAAGTGCTATACAATGTTGGCTGAGACATTTTCCATACTCAATTAGTGATAATTCTCTTTTTTTTTTTCTTCCGGATAAGCAGTTGGATCAAATCAATAATCATATGTCCCTAGCTCAAGAATGGGATCCAAAAAGCAAACATCCACAACAACAGAAACATCCTATGAAATAGTGAAGAGTATCCATTCTATTATGCCCATCACACTAGTGCAATAGTATTAAATCTTCAAGACTCTCAAGGAAAACAAAATTATTCAAGAAGGACAAAATTCATTACCCGAGCACGGATGAACTCTTCAATTCGTCCTTTGGAAAAGCGTCCAAGCAGTCGAGGTCCATGCCCCTGTTTGGACATGAACTCAAACGTCTGGATCTCATTATCCCCGTCAAAGAACACCTCCACGCCCACACCATAAATCCTGACCACAACCTTGCGCGAGAGCTCACCGGTCTTTGTTGGCCATTTGATTTGGAAGACCTCATTGGTCATTGCACCTTTGAGAGGGATCACCTGCAATGCATTTGCGTCAGTCACATCTTCCCACTTGGATGCCAATGATTTCAGCATCTCCTTTGCCTCCGCCGGTACCCGCTCTTCCGGCGTTCGCACATCTTTATTGTTGACACCCATATCCAATTAACCAACCCCGGTATCCCTTCTGAGATTCGAATTGCAAGCGAGATTGATTGTGTCACAACCAATGTTTGATCTGAAATGAAATACAAGAGGGAAAACATCAAGACACCTTTCACGCCAAAAAGAAGGGGAAAATCAGCATTTCAATAATCACAATTCTGCATGCGAATCCGAAGAACAGCTGAAAGTGGTGAAACAAGAACGAGGTGAAGAATTTAAATTACTGAATCGAATTCCGCCTGGGCGATCCTTCCCTCGAGAAGACAACGAAACCGACGGGGAAAGAGAAAGATTAGAAGTTCAATCAACCGCGACGCCGCCGGCGAACATTACCGGGGAAAGCCCCAAGGCGGTTCGGACAGTGAGTCGTTTTGATTTCGGTGGTAGAAACGGAGATGGAGAGAGTGAGAGAGGGAGCAGGCGAAAGAGGAGGGTTCTGTTCTTTAAATTTGGAAGGGGAAAAAACAGGAGTGGTAAAAGAGAGGATGATCATCGATCAGAGGTTGGAGAGGCTATGAGTGACGCGCGCAAAATTGGTATTTTGGAAATTGAGCGGAGGAAGATTCGGGTTCTCTTTTCTAAAAGGAGCGTGTCACCGAGAGAGGGAGAGAGATAAGAATGAACTGTTTCCGGTGATGATACTAAAGATTTGGGCCTAGGCCCACGTCGGGAAAGCCCAATTTATTGGAGTTACCGGAGACCCGCTGCCGGCATTGGTACCCAAACCGCCTTTCATTGTCATCCATACACTGCCGGAAAACTGGCAAGCAAAGACTGTAATGGTCTCGGTGGAGGATTGGATCTTTCCAAAGATTAAGAACAAAGAAATAGACTGGATTGAGGAAGAATGGAGGTGAATTTGAGAAGAAGAATCAGAAGAAAGGGAAGAACAGAAGTAGAAGCAGAATAGAAGAGCTGAGAAAGTGTTTTCTGTTATTCAATTGTTCGATATCCTCTCTACAACACAAGACAGCCCAATTTATACTAAACACCTATTACCAATTGATTCCTGAACTATTCCTTATTACTAATAGATCCTAGTTGTTACAATCCTCCCTCCTTGATAACAACATTTGTTCTCAAGACGAAAAAATGGAGAGAAAAAACTAAACACACAGCTCATGAAATGACAACATGGAAAAGAATTCTACGCCACTGAGGGCTTGCTTGGAGGTTAGGATTTGAGATGAATGATTTAGTCAATACATGCATTGAGGAGATTAAGTTGTTTTTTTTTTTGTTTAATTTGGGCTGAAATACATGCATTACCTTTTTGGGGGCCCACTCATAATCCCTCATAATGAATGATTTACAATCTCTCTTTTAATGAGAGATTGAAACAAATTATTGGGGCCTAACTTTCTATTCCATTTCTATCCCTATTTTCTTTTCTTTATACCAAGATTAACCTCATCCTCCACTAACCCTCTCTCCTTCCATCAACACATAGAAGCTAGAAAAAGGGAAAAGGCTATCTTGTTCCTCCCTCGACGACCTGCGTCGGAATTTCAGAAGATCAATCCTTAAACTCATCTACCTCGCCATCCACGTTAATCCTTGCATCCCACAGGAATCACTGCCTTCTCACCATCACGACGGAGCCGTCTTCGTAGCTGTATCCCGCCATTGGAATTCGTCCGGGATCGAAAGAAGAAGGGCCTTGTGTTTTAGCCGGGAATTGAAGGACATCACTTGTTTTGGACTCCATTTCAAGCAGCCAAAGAACCTTCTATTTGGATTACCTGTTGTATGCGACGTCCTAACGGTTGCAGGAGAGTCGCACTTGCAAATTACAGAGATTTCTTCTTGATCGTCGTCGGGGATTCGCCGGAATTGTCGCGTATCCGTCATTTGGCTGGAACCCACTTCTATTTTCCTCTCGCTGCTGCTTTACCCGACCTAATAGCCTTCCCCGCCGACCTGGAATGGATATAAAGGAAGGAGGAGGTTGGTGAAGGGCAATTATGCTCATCAATCTGAAAAGTGTACTATTTTTAGGTTATGTGAAAAGTACAATATACAACACCAAACAAGGGATTTACCAAATACAACAATTTATAGAATGCATATATTTACAATACACTAATTGATAGAATATATCAATTGTATGAATCGCATCCTCCAAACATGCCCTGAGTTCAACAAACAGCTGCCCTCTTACTCCTGCTAAGCCCGCAACAAGAGCTGAAATTCGTCACATCTCTGCAGCTGTTGCAGTAGTTGAGAGTGCTGTCAAATCTTTGGGTGTTGTCTTTCCTAAGTATTGGCCATTTGTTCTCAAAGTAAGATGCAACAGTTGGTGAATGCTCTCTTTTTTTCATAGTAATGAAGTGTGATGTGGAGTGCCTTCCACTAGAAAAAGATATTTGTATGACTCCTTAAAACCGGAAGCTGGTACCCTACAATGAGCATAAACAACAACATAGTCAGACTGCTACACATTCCCATTACTACCTTTAAACAACTAGCAACCCTGCTTCAAATTCGTACCAAAACAACTATGCAATACCAACTACCCCAGCCTCATTGTATGGCTCCTCGAAACCAATGCTATACTGATAGAAACTTGCATTTTAGTACTTTAATTAATTGTCGGTTTGTTACTATTTCGGGTTATTGGGACTATTTCGGGGATTGGGGAATACTTTATAAGTGGGTTAGCAGTAGGGAATTATCCATTTTATTATATAAACTGCTTGTAAGTGGGATTAGGCGACTAAGCAAGAATTAAATCTAAAACCTAATATTCTAATCCCTCTCTCACTCTCTGTCGTCCTCTCTTCCTCCCCACTTTTCCCTAGGCTGTCGAGCAGCCTCTCCCTTCCCCCTCCTTCTTCTGCTCTCGTCCCCCAAATCAATTCCCCTCCCCTTTCTTCTTCCTCGTTCAAACCAACCCCCTTCATCCTCCATTTTTGTGCTACAAGGAGATCAATCCCTAATTGATCCCTTCAATCTCAATCTCTAGATAGAACCCTAATCACCGGGTTCTATCATTTGGTATCAGAGCCACGCTCGCGATCAAACAAAGACAATCAAGATGCCGCTGACGAAATCCATGACTGCAACGGAGAAGGCAGCCAAGGCGGCACAGGAGCAGGCTGCAGCTGGGGCGGCAACGAGACTACCATCCCCCGCGATGGCCCGCACGAGGTTCCCTGTCCGCGGGATGGGGAGCTGGTTGACGAGACGATCGGTGAGGAGCTCCGCACCGACTTGGACAAAATGGCGGACGCAGTGGAGCAGGAGCGCCGGTCCATGCAGAAGGGCGAGCGGGCCCGTGAGGCGGATTCGCAGAAGCTGTGGCTCGCAATTGGTGAGCTCAAGGAGATGCTGGCGGAGGTTCTGGGGCGCGTCAGCGGTGGCAGTGGCAGTGCGACCGGCTGCGATGGGTCGGCGGCGGGTGGAGGCGGCCCGGTCAACGGCGAAGAACGCGGCGTTGGCGGCGAAGGCGCCGGCGGTGGCGGCCAGGGGGGCAGCGCTAGAGGCGGCCGCCGAGCCCAGGTTGGGTGCGAGTGGGGGCGAAGCAGGAGCGGGCCCAGTGCAGGCAGGGTTGGGTGCGGGCTCGGGTCTTTTGCCTAAGCCTACGGCCCAGGAGATTGCGGCCCGCAAGGGGAAGGCCAAGATGCTAGGCTATGACGCAGATGGGCCTCCAATGAATGTTGGGCAAGAGATGGCGGGCCACTATGCGAAAGGCACCAATGGGCTAGGGTGGTTGGGCTTGGATGACAAGCCCGAAGATGACAAGTTCAGCCTGGCAGGTTCACAGGCGCAGGGGACTGGACCGGAGGCAGACCAGAGGGGGCCCGGTGGGCCGGGTAGGGCAGTCGACCAGGTTGGGCGAATGGGTTCGGTTCCGGCAGGGCGGACCGTAGTGGGAGGGGCCGAGGCGGGTCGAACTGATACGGGGCGGGTCGATGCTGGTCAAACCGAGGTGAGTTGAACTGGACCTAGTTGGGCCGGAATGGATCGACCCGAGGTGGGTCGAACCGGGCATCGTCCGAGTCCTTCTAATCAGCAACCAAGAAGGGTGGACAGCAAGGGACCAGCTGGTTGGGAGGGCCCGCATGGGGCACCCTATGTTCCGGGTGGATACCAGGGCCAGCCAGGCGGATACCCGGGGGACTACGGGCATGAGAATCTGAGCCGAGCGCCGGAAAATACGTACGGGCAGCCGTGGAGGACACCAGGTAACGACAGGTATGGTTCATATTGTATTAACTATGAAGGAGCTGATGGAATGGTTTTTCGCGCCAAGCCTCCTACCATTGAGTTTCCAAAATTCAATGGGCAAGAGGATGCAAGTCTTTGGTTGTATGCAGCTGAGAGGTGGTTTAGAAACCATCCGATTCCGGAGGAGAGAAAGGCCTATCTGGCGTCGTTTTATTTGGAGGGTGATGCGCTCCAGTGGTGGGAGTGAATGGAGAGATCATACGCAGCGGCCGAGACTTTGATTACCTTCGGGAAGTCAGAAGGGTGGGCCCCTGAGCAGTTGGCCAAGTTGAAGCAGACCCGCACTGTGGCCGATTACCGCGCTGAGTTCTTCAAGCTGGGGAACTAGTGCAAGGGAGTTCCGAAGGACACGTTGGTGGGACTGTGCATGGCGGGCCTCAAGCCCGAGATAGCAGCAACGGTCAGAGTATTTGAGCCAGATTCCTTGAAAACTGCTTTTCGTCTTGCACGTCAAAAAGAGGAGGAACTTGCTAGCTGGAGGAACTCCATAGGCCGTTACCCGAAGTCGAGTGGAGGTGGAGGAAGCAGTGGGGCCAGTGGTAGCAGTGGAGGAACACCGACGGGAAATGCAGCGGGAGTTAATGCCGGAGGCGGGGGCACGGCGTCGGTGGCTAGGATGGGACCGCGGGCCATACCAAAAGGGTTCGTGCGACTGTAGCCGGCCGAGATCGAGCAAAAGAGGCGGGAGGGCAAGTGCTTCAATTGTGATGGCTGGTTCACCATTGGTCATCAATGCTCGAAGCCGGACCTGTTGATGTTAGTCGGACGCTGGGAAGATGAAGCGGAAGACGCGATCGAGGACGTCGAAAATGGCGAGGAGGAGACCTAGTGAACTAGAGGAACAACCTTGGGGACAAGGTTGTTTTTCGAAGGAAGCGGGGATGATAGAAACTTGCATTTTAGTACTTTAATTAATTGTCGGTTTGTTACTATTTCGGGTTATTGGGACTATTTCGGGGATTGGGGAATATTTTATAAGTCGGGTAGCAGTAGGAAATTATCCATTTTATTATATAAACTGCTTGTAAGTGGGATTAGGCGACTAAGCAAGAATTAAACCTAAAACCTAATCTTCTAGTCCCTCTCTCACTCTCTGCCGTCCTCTCTTCCTCCCCTCTTTTCCCTAGGCTGCAGAGCAGCCTCTCCTTTCCTCCTCCTTCTTCTGCTCTCGTCCCCCAAATCAATTCCCCCTCCCCTTTCTTCTTCCTCGTCCAAACCAACCCCCTTCATCCCCCATTTTTGTGCTACAAGGAAATCAATCCCTAATTGATCCCTTCAATCCCAATCTCTAGATAGAACCCTAATCACCGGGTTCTATCATATACACTTTGTGATTCACCATATCCAAAGGACTTGTGGTTGTGAACTATTTCCAAAAGAAATGATCTTGACGATCATGTATGAAGAACATCTAAAGATTATGCACCAAATTGACAATCTAGAAGATTGTTCACTAACTCACTCCCCACAACTATCTTTCTAAAAGTTTTTCCTGAAATTTGAGTTCAACGACCCAAAGATCTGAAGTGATGTGGTCATGAGGGGAAGCATATACGCATTGCACTCCTTTTCCCTTAACCATGGGTTTTCCCACTGGGTTTTTCTGGTAAGGTTTTTAATGAGGCAGCATGAGATAGCGTAATGCAATCTTGTGGTCATTCAAGGGGGAGTATAATGTAAATATAGATATATGAAAGGCCAATGATCTACCACATTAGATGCTCAGTTGGGAGTTACATGTAACCCTTATTCCTACATTTGAAATCTCTTTTTATGTTTCATTATCTATCATTCATATGCATTGATATAAGGATGTAGTGGTCATCAAAATATGCTTATAAATAGAACATACTATTATATCAAAAGTGAAGAATGAAGAATGAATAATAAAAAAACTCTCTTCACCTCTCTTCTTTGTGTCTTTCACCACTAATTTTTTCTTGTAAAGATTTATATTGTCCGTTATTTCATAACAACGGTAAACTTTTGATCATCGCATTATTAAGGAAGTGAGATGACCAACTACCACCGCATTCCCGTATCAAACCTGACGTGCTCCAAATCTTGTAGGCTGATCCGGGCTAAAAGCCTTTTACTGGGCTTTCTGTAACGGAAGCCCACGCAGTATGACGCTCATCAATTGGACCTCACACTTCTGAATTCAGTATAGAAGAACAAGAGAATAGTGCCGCCGTTACTTACTCAGGTGAGGAGACGGGAGAGGGACGGAAAAGGGGGGCAAAGCTGTCATTACAGAAAAAACAAACCCCTAGTTCCCTAAACCCTTTCCCTGCCGCGCTGCGCTGCGCTCCGCTTTCCTTCCTCCCGGTTCCACGCCTGATTCCCTTCTGCTCTCTCCCTTCTCAGCAGCCGCTTCAATCTATTCCATCGCCTGCTCGCCGTCTACGCCACCGTACCCCTTATCAAGGTACTTCCAGATTCTGCCTTCTACCACTATCCATTTTGCCGCAGCTTGTCATAGTTCGGAATCTTCGGCACCTTCCAATTTGGTTTGGGGTTAAAAAACTGCGTCTTTAATTGGGTTTCTGATTTCCTGTAATGGGGTTCGGTCCGTTTCTCCACTTTGGTCTATCAGGTGTGGTTGCTCGTTTTGCCTAATCCTTGTCGGAGGGATTTCTTCGGCCCTGGACGGCGTTGCAGGGTTGAGATGCTGAAGACGATTTACTTGAACAGCTCACTTGAGTGGAAGCCGTCTCCAGTTGTAGCCCTAGCTACCAGCGCCGATGACTCCCAAGTTGCCGCCGCTAGGGAGGATGGCTCCCTGGAGATTTGGCTCGTCTCTCCTGGCTCAGTTGGTTGGCACTGCCAGCTGGTATATTCTATCTTCCAATGTTTCTTTTAATGTGGAAAACACTAAAACTTCTCTTGCTTTAAGTGGGCTGGTTTGAGTTTCATTAGTGCTTTTATGTGTAGACTATTCATGGCGATCCTAGTTCAAGAGTGTCATCGCTCGTGTGGTGTCGTGCTGGCTCGAAGGGATTACCTTGTGGCAGATTGTTCTCGTCAAGTATTGATGGGTCTATTTCAGAGTGGGACCTGTTTCACTTGAAGCAAAAGGTATAAGTTCCCTTGATGTTTGCTTTTGGAAACATTTCTTGCATTTTCCTGTCTTGTCATGCCTACAAGTAATGCCATTCAAGTAATTGGTTCAGTAATCTTACCTACAGACATCTGCCTTACGGTACTGAGGGTATTTGAAATAGGACATCTGCTTATTTTGCGAGCTGACAGTCACTATGCATTTGTACGTGCTTAGAATATATCACCCCATTGCGAAATGGTGGCTCAAAAGGTGAAGTGATAAGCTTTTTCTGATTGTTATTATAACACAATTTTTCACTTGCGTGCAGATTGTTCTGGACTCTACTGGCTACTCGATTTGGCAGATGGCTGTTGCACCTACCAGTGACGGAGCACTTTCCTCAGAGGTCAAGTCGCAGCATCTGACAAATGGCTTCTTGAATGACATTCATCATGGTAACGATCATGATGATGAATCTAGTGAAAGTGATGATGATTCAAGCTCCGACGGGCATCTCAATCAAGTTCTTGAAGATACACGCTTGGCAATTGCTTGCGATGATGGTTGTGTGCGTATATACACTGTTCCAGATTCCGATGAGTTGATATACAATAGAACATTGTCTAGGGTCAGTGGTAAGTAATCTGTGCCCTTTTACTGCTACTCACTTAATTTCTCTTACCCTGTGTAAATAACTCGATTCATTTTTTTATGTTGCAGGCCGCACTTTAAGTGTGACGTGGAGTTGTGATGCGTGTAAGCTATTCTCAGGCAGCAGCGACGGGTAAGTGCTCAAATGGCTCCAATGATTTTGTACAATTTAGTTCTTGTAACAGCTGATCTTCATGCCGGTTCCTAAAGTGTTACATGCATCAATTTCATATAATTTCATAAAATTTGACTGTGAGCTTCAGCATTTCTTTGGGATGTTTTTATAACTGTAGTAAATTGTCGTTTACTTTTGTAACCCTATAATGAATCCCTTGTTGCAGTTTTATTAGATGCTGGGATGCAACCCTTGGTCATGAGATATACAGAATCACAGTTGGGCTTGGTGGTCTGGGCGGTGGAACTGAAATTTGTGTGTGGTCTCTACTTGCACTGAGGTGGAAATAGCAATCATTTGATTTGTGTTGGCTGTTTGAATAATATAAGGCTAGGTTAATGATTTTGCTCCAACACTAAGAACATGGCTCTCATGTATTTACCGTCAATTGCAGATGTGGGACCCTCGTCAGTGCAGACAGTACTGGCACTGTTCAGTTTTGGGACTCCCAGCACGGGACTCTTTTGCAAGCGCATTCTTACCATAAGGGTGATGTAAATGCTTTGGCAGTTGCTCCTAGTCATACCAGGGTATTTTCTGCTGGATCAGATGGTCAGGTATTACTCTCCAGATTGACTTCAAAAAAATCCCTCTTAGTTTCTTCTTGCAGTGTTAATAGATTTTCTTTTTGTCATTGTTCTTTAGCACCTCTCGCGATCTGAATGTGTTTTGGAAGTTGTATGACCCCTTGTGTTTGTTTGTAGGTTATTCTTTATAAGCTTTCCAGTGATGTAGTTGGATCTAGTGCTGATACATCTACATCGACTGTAATGAAGAAATGGGTTTATGTTGGTTATGTTAGAGCTCATACACATGATGTTAGAGCTTTGACAATGGCTATACCAATCTGCCGTGAAGGCATGTTTCTCATTCTCCTCTGGCTTAGTCACTTCTGTTCTGTGTATGCCTACCATTTTGTATCGACAATCATTCTTCCATTTCCTAATTCTATGATCTTGGAGTACAGATGCTCTACCTGAGGAAAAGGCAAAAATGGGGCGGAAGAGGAGGCGGCAAATTGAGTTTAGCTATCACAAGTGGGCACATCTGGGAGTTCCCATGCTAATTTCTGGTGGCGATGACACAAAGATGTATGCTTATTCTGCAAAGGAGTTCTCAAAGTTCTCTCCCCATGACATATGTCCCGCACCTCAGAGAATGCCTATTCACTTGGTTCATAATACCATGTTCAACAAGAATTCCTTACTTCTTGTCCAAGCGTCTAATTCCTTGGATATTTTATCTGTGAGGTCAAATGGTGGAAACATAACAGATGGTGTTCCTGGTCCATCAAAGGGCCGCGCAACCACAGATTTACTGGCTAGAATTAAAACGAAAGCATCCCGTAAGATCATATGTAGTGCCATTTCTAATACTGGAATGCTATTTGCTTACTCTGATCACATCAAGCCAAATCTTTTTGAGTTGAAGAAGCATGAAGCTAACAGAACTTCGTGGACTGTTAGCAAAAGGCAGCTTCATTCCAAGTTGCCATACTCGCATTGTATTATCTTTAGTTCGGATTCTTCAAGGCTAATATTGGCAGGCCACAATAGAAGGATATATGTAAGCATTTTCTCCTTGTTCTACTGTTGGGTGTTACTTTGCTTTTAAATGTGACTGTTCCAGTTCCTTTTACCTGAATGCCTTGAAGGATGGGTTATTTGTTCCAGTTGACTTCATTATTGATGAATGCTTTTGTTTGGGGTGGGACTTCTGGCTCCTTGTGGGTAGTGAGTAGGGGTTTATATCCCTTTAACGTGCAATGATATCATATCTCATGAATGCATTGTGGTTGTAGGTTGTGGATGTGGAGACATCTGACCTAGTGCATACCTTCAGTCCTCAGCGTTATGATTACAATGAGGAATTACCGCCCTCCGAGCCTCCAATGACAAAAATGTTCACTAGCAACGACGGACAGTGGTTAGCTGCCGTTAATTGCTTTGGCGATATATATGTGTTCAACATGGAGACACAAAGGTGTGAATAAACCCCATTCCTTACTTCCTTTCTCATGTGGGTTGGCTGTCATGTGACTTTTTCGGCACTCTGATTATGTGCAGTCAGATTTTTGCTTCTTATAATTAATGGATCCTTGGTAAGAAAAGAGGACATTGTTCCAATTGAATTGTTTGGTAGTTATATACTTGTGGGTGCTAATAATGAATCATCTCAATCCTACAGAGTGGTCAATTGATCACCTTTTAGATTCCCCTAGAGATTTGAATTTATGAGCCTATTGCTCTTTTGTCATGATTAATTATCAAGTGTGGATATATATTTCTGCTTGAGGCTGGTTTTATTTGGAGTTATACATATCTTAACGTTTGTTTTGAATAGGATTTAAATACGCTCATTGTTTGTTACTATACAGGCAGCATTGGTTCATTTCAAGACTGGATGGTGCTTCTGTTACCGCTGGTGGTTTTCCACCACAAAATAACAATGTCCTTGTAGTCACTACCTCCTCAAACCAGGTCTATGCATTTGATGTAGAGGCGAAGCAGTTGGGGGAATGGTCAATGAGGCATACTTCTTTTCTACCTAGGAGATACCAGGAGTTTCCTGGAGAAGTTATTGGTCTCTCTTTCCAGCCTTTGTCTGCTTCTCCATCTGCCATCATATATAGTGCGAGGTGAGTTTATCTAGTTTCCTTGTGGCTGTTTTCAAGGTTGTATTGCTATCCTAAATTGACTGCTAGTTTGTCACATCTGATATTTATTCACTAGAGTGTTTACTTGAGGGCTATCAAATCCCGGTGTTGTAGAATATTCATCTGAAGTGGTTAATATCTTTGCCTTCAGGGCAAGGTGTCAGATCGATTTCGGGATGCCAGTGGATAGAGAGGAAGATGGTGACTTGGTTAATGGTCCTGTTTCAACCAAAAAGATAAAATTAAAAACCCCGGTGAACAACGGTAGCCTGAAAAGAATACTAAAAGAGTATCAAACAAAGACTGAAAATAGGAAGAACTTTGAATTTCATGCCTTCAGAGATCCTGTGTTATTCATGGGGCACCTTTCAGAGAATAGCATATTGATCGTAGACAAGCCGTGGTTAGATGTAGTCAAATCATTAGAAGCTCCTCCTGTTCACAGACATGTATTTGGCACTTAGAAAGGGTGGTAAGAAGAGTTGTGATGAATCAGTTGAGCCATAACAAGAGGAACGTGGGGAGATCAGGGAAGGTACTCAGAAGCAGAGGACTAAACTAAACCAGGTTTTTCGATGGCTTCCCTTGTCTGCTTGGCGGGAGAATGCATGGGTTCTCAAGCCTTTCTCATGGGTTGTGCATGTGATTGGGGAAGAAGGATAGAGATTTGCAGGCAAAGGTTGGTAACGATGAACTGGGACTATGCTTGTTTTGGGGGGTTGGGTTCATGTTCTTGTTGTTTATTGTATCCCTACTAGTAGTTCTCCCTTGTAGAGGGTTGTTTTTTTGTTTCTTTTTTGGCGCTTTGTTTCTGGGGACCTTCTAGCGACTCTTGGTAGTAGTTCAACTCAGTTTTGTCCTAAATTTTTTTTTGCTTCTAACTTATGGGCTAAATCTATAAGAAATGTACAAGTTCCCCACACTGCATACTTCCTGTCCAGCAGTGCAATGAATTGCTGTCTTGTTCTCCTGTTGCTGGTGGGGAATTGGGAATGAATCACAATATTGATGGCTTCAGTTACTTGCTGCCTTTAGCAGGAATAAGCTGCCTGACCTATACCCTTGAGATTATTATAGTTATAATAATTATATATTTACCAAACAAGCTATTTATGCGCTCTAAACACCATATCCTGATTTCGGGTCTACTTATTATGTCACTGGATAGTCACTGGTAAGATAGTCTAATGATAAATGGTAAGCAGTTGCGATAGTTAATGGTTGGGAGTTGCAGATTTCAGGTTCAAATTTAAGTGAGGCTCGTTGGTGTTCTCAGAGGTATAAGGCCGCTGGGAGTATAGCCCTGTTGCCGTCGAATCGAATTGACAAATTCAATAATTTTTTTAAGAGTGTTAATGTTATAGGCTTAGTTTTAATGTTAGGGGTTACTAAAGCGATTCGATCTTGTGGTTTAAGGTTCACCATGATATATCTATATCATCATGATACACTTTCATACCACTATAATATAATTTTATGTACTACCAAACATATTCACGATGTTTGTAATATATATTTTTTTATTCCTAAATATATCAAAGTAAATGTCATTACCCCAATTTTCCCGTTGAATTAGTTGCTATTATTAATTTATTATTAAGCTAAGTGTCGCAATTCGCGACTCGCGACACGGTTTGATACAACAAAAGAAAGAATTCATTGTGAATTCTCATGGTGTAAAAATAACTCTCCCACCCATCTCTACCTTCCTTCACCCAATAGAAAATTTAGTCTCTTCGGTAGTCTACAACAATCTCAAAGTCAACAGACAAAGAAGGATTACAAATTATAATACTACTGAAACCAATCTTTATGCTCGTCGGCACTTCAACAACAGCTCTACAGACTCCTCTTGCTGCTTGCAACGCAAGATTCCAGGCCCCCGCAAGTAAGTTAGTAACACCAGCAATCTGCAAAAGTTGCTGCAAAAAACCACATTCAGAAAAAACTAAGTGGTCTCTATCTGTTGGGACTTTTGAGGATGAGGGTACACGTACGATAGCCCGAGACCGGGTGACTAGGATTATGATAGAGTCGTGAACTACGTTCACTTTCCGTAAAGAATATTTCCACCCTCAACAAGCCTAGGGTTACAGGAAATTTCTTCGTAGGATAAAACTATCACCACTTTAGGTTCCAGGCTTAAGTACCTAAAGCATACTTAGAAGTTTAGTAGGAAGAAGAATCGATTTTGGTGTATCTCCTCCACCAGCCGAACGCATCTATTTATAGTGGTTGAAACACTACACCGAAGCATTGCATTGCTTCAGGAAGCCACTGATCAATCTGTTCAATGCATGGCAAATTAACTGCCATCCCATTTAATTTCATTGAAACGTTGTATGGTTAGGTCATAACCGCCATCCATTTCAATTCCTTTGATACGTTTCATGGCAACCTTCCATTTCAATCCAATGGTTCCTTCTGGTGGAAAGGCATCACGTGGAGAAATTGAGGTGGGGAAGTTTGCTTATTTCAAACATAATAATGAAACGTTGAGTGTCAAATGAAACCTTGGTTCATGTTAATTAACCTTGACCGGTCCAATTATCTAACCAAGTAACATCATTTTCCAACATTCCTCCCCCATTTTAGTGTATTCTACGAATCCACTAAAATTACAACATTCTTTCAACAAAACTTAAGCATAAATGAAAATGTCGTGACGATTGAATTTTCACCTTAGTATATTACACTTGACAAATATTCGAATACAAAGGGTGTCGGTAACGATTGAACCCATTGACTCATATGAATATTTGAAGATAATATACACTTAAGTTTTCAAAACTTCTAAGTGCCTTGACACTATTATCCGCCATGTGTCCAATCCTTCTCATAAGCGCACACGAAACCAAAGTCCTGGTTTCTTGAAGCGGCTACACTTCATGCTTACGTAGGTTGAATCTCTTATTCATGTACCCGCATAATACACTTTTTCAAAGATTCAATTAAGAAGTTTTGAACTTCATCCTCTTCTCTCATGCAGGATAACAAGCACATACCTCGGGATGAAAAATTGTGTGCTTCAATTTCTGATAATAAGCTTTCCACATTGAATTCAGCCTCTAACGTTGTATTAGAGGGGAATTGGGTGTCCCATTACCAGAAATTATATGGACTTTAACCCATCCCTTTCACAGACTTGATCACCAAGTCACTAGTTAACCACTTCGTCAAATGATCAACCAAATTATTTTGAGTTTGGTCATACTGTCTAGACACAACACTATGAATGATCAGTTCACAGCTTTTACCGTGCCTTACTCCCACATGACCGTACTTGTCATTTTCACTTGACTATATGCCTTAGCCAAATTAGCATTACTATCACAAAAGATAGTAATAGGTGAGATTGGTTTATGCCATAAATATATGTCATAAACCAAACCTCTCAACAATTATGTCTCTTCTCTAAGAGAAATCAAGGCCACACAAACTTTGATTCTATAGTGAAACTTAGTGATGCAAGTTTGCTTTCTAGAGGCCCAAAATATGACACCTCTCCCAAGCAAGAGGACCCATCTCAATGTTGAAGTATCACCTTTAACATGAGAAATCCAAATAACATCAACAAATCCTTCCAAAATTAATGGAAAGTCACAATAAGTCAATACAGTGTGCCTTTGACATATCCTAGTACACACCTCATTTCATTTCAAATGATGAGAACTAGGATTCATCACGTACCAACTTAATTGTTCTATCGCATATGCGATATCTAGCATCATGCAAGACATGCATACATCGAGCCCCCAATTTAACATGGAATACTCCAGTTGTAAAACTGATTTCCAGTATTAACCATAAGTTCCATACTTGGGTCAATTGGGGTCTTTAACTCACCACAATTCCTACTATGGAATTTATGCAAGTACCTTCTCATGCAGAAAAATTGAGAGAAGGATTCTTTCTTTGTCGTTCCTCTTGATTCAATATACAGAATCACATTTGCCTCCCCCATGTCCTACATGGAGAATAGAAATAACAACTTTTTATCAAAGTTTACTTATCTTTTATTGGTTCCAAAGATAAGCATGTCTTATACATACAAATGTACGATGACTTCATTACCAGAATCATCGTAAATTGTGTACACATTTTGTCTCCTTGGTTTAAATTAACATAAACCACTAGACAAAATCACTTATCTTGGATTGGTCTCAAAGATAAATATGTCATTTACATACAAACACAACGACTCTATTACCAGAATCATCAAACATTGTATATACAATTTTGTCTCCTTGGTTTAAAATAACATAAACCACTAGACAAAATCAAACCACCAAACCACTAGACAAATGCAAATTTATCTAGAACTTCGTAAATGTCGAATAGAGAATTAGACTAATTAACCCTTGAGTATGTAACCTACACAAAGGCAATTGTCATTCTTCTATTTCTCCATTTTTATGAAGCTTTCTCCTTCTTCCCCATCTTCGAATCATCCCTCTTCCAAGTTACCTTCCGGATATGGAATACACCATGAGACAAGTACGAAAAAAACCCATCTTCTACTGCCATCGATGAAAAACCCATCATCGAACATTCTCATAATTCCATAGACCGCAACCGGTTTCTTGTAAAGAGCGGTTCGAGCCATCATACCGGAAAATATTCTTTACGATTGTTGGGACTTTTGAGGATGAGGGTACACGTACGATAGCCCGAGACCGGGTGACTAGGATTATGATAGAGTCGTGAACTACGTTCACTTTCCGTAAAGAATATTTCCACCCTCAACAAGCCTAGGGTTACAGGAAATTTCTTCGTAGGATAAAACTATCACCACTTTAGGTTCCAGGCTTAAGTACCTAAAGCATACTTATAAGTTTAGTAGGAAGAAGAATCGATTTTGGTGTATCTCCTCCACCAGCCGAACGCATCTATTTATAGTGGTTGAAACACTACACCGAAGCATTGCATTGCTTCAGGAAGCCACTGATCAATCTGTTCAATGCATGGCAAATTAACTGCCATCCCATTTAATTTCATTGAAACGTTGTATGGTTAGGTCATAACCGCCATCCATTTAAATTCCTTTGATATGTTTCATGGCAACCTTCCATTTCAATCCAATGGTTCCTTCTGGTGGAAAGGCATCACGTGGAGAAATTGAGGTGGGGAAGTTTGCTTATTTCAAACATAATAATGAAACGTTGAGTGTCAAATGAAACCTTGGTTCATGTTAATTAACCTTGACCGGTCCAATTATCTAACCAAGTAACATCATTTTCCAACAATATCTTCACTCTGACTTCCACAAAACAGACACTTTGCATCACTAATCTTTGCCTCATTTGTACAGCTTGGCTCTAGTGGTCAAAGCATTCAAAACAATCAGCACGAAGTGTGTTCCATAATGCTCTTCTAGTCGAGTATTGAACTATTGATCCATAAGCGATCCATTCCACAAGACCACATCTCCCTGTCTACACAGAAGAGCCTGTGCTTGAGGTCGGAGCTTCAATATCTTCCTACGTGCCTGAGAGCTGTTGGAGTTAATCTTCATGAATCACACATCATCCCTTTTGCAATGAAAATGTCATTGGTTCAAGTATTGCATATCGATTGAATTGAACTCTTAATATGTGGAAGCGATGTAGTATTCTTAACATAGACTTAATTTTTATAATTATCATAAATCAACAATATTTTTGAACACGGAAGTTGTTAGTGAATATGGGACACATGTGTATTTAAGATGGGTAAATATGGAAAGATTGAGTGATGTTTGTTTGCCGAACGCGGATGAAAAATGCACTACTAATGTAAATGAGCCCAAATAGTGTCCCAACCTTCTAAACGCTCAACCATCGCCGTCTCTTCAAACTTTCTTCAGACTCAACAACCGGCTAACCTCCCACAACTCTATTGTTACGTGAGAGCAATTTTCGGAAGGGTAAATATGAAAAGATTGAGTGTTGTTGGTTTTCCGAACGCGAATGGAAAAGACGTTTTTAATGTAAACGGACCCAAATAGAGCCCGACCCACTAAATGCTCAACCATGGCGCTTACTTTCACCACACCAAACGGGAGAAAGAGGAAGGGGAAGAGAATCAGAGTTGCAAATTTTTTTTAACTGAAGTAACTTTTTTTGTTCAACCGGGTTTCCCTTTGTTACGCTTGCGGCCTGAGGGCGAATTTTTTTGAGAAAAAGAGACAGGCTAATTTGGCTGCGGAGCCAGAGTAATTTTTTGGAGCCAAATGAAATTTTGAAGCAAATTTTACCAACAAAATGGAATTTGTCGGAGTCAAAGCAAAATTTTGAGACTAAAAGTAATTTTGAAGCAAAAGGAAATTCTCCTCCATGAATTTGAAGAAATAATAGTTAATTTTTTTTGTTAAATTGGTCACAAGAATTACAGTGACTAAGTATTAGACACGGAAAATGAAGACTAAAAAATTGTTGAATTGATATCCGTGATTAGAGCCATACAATACAACTAACTACGAAAAAAAATTTCGTGGCTACCAGTGTACTTCGTAGTAAAGAAAAAAATTCTGTGAATAAGATCTCGTGACTAAACACATGTTTTACTGTAATGTATGGATAATGCTAACTCTATTAATTTTTTTTTTATTTGATAACTCTATTAATCTTTGGGAAAGGTGTTTTGACTTTATTATTACTGTTGGGCCATTAAACATGACTTAGCCCAGCCCAAACCACAACTACAATCCATCAAGTATGTATGGGCCCAAACCCACAAAGTATCTTCATGATCCTACAACTAAAGCCCACATGAAGAAGGCAAGCTTGGCCTATAAATACACTACCAAGCACTCCAAGTAAGGGGGCTCTTCGGCTCCTCTACTCACTTTGGATATATCACTTATCTCTCTACAATCTCTCTCTACATAAGATCTCCTTATTTCTCTATCATTGTACTAATGTTGATCGTCGGAGTGTAGATAAGGGGGGGCCATCCCCGCCCTTTCACAGATCCGGCGCCCTTCTTGTTTCTTGGCTGAAACAATCGGCGCGCCAGGAAGGGGTCTTACACAGCTGCGCCTTCAACAATTGAAGGGGAAGTTTTCTCACAAAAAAGAAAAAATATATCAGGAGGAGGGGGCGAACACCTGATTGTGAACGAGATGCGCCTCCACAAAATAAAATAGTGGAGGTGGCGCCCAAACCTCCTTTCTTTTGCAAAACCACGAGAAGAATTGGGCCTAGTGCTTGCAATTATTATAAGAGCCATGGGCCCACAACAAGCACAAAATGTTGAGGCAACTGAAAAGCAGCGAGTTTTCCATTGTGACTTTGTAGCGGGAACCAATAAGATCTCAAATAGGATGTGCCCGAGCGCCTCCTTTTTCTCCGTCACTTTTCCGAAATACAAATCTGGATGACGCTAGCTGCTTTTAGTGGTACATCTCTTTCTCGTCGTAGCTCCGGCACCGCACCCACCTCCGGCCACTTATCGTCATGACCCACTCAATTGGGCGCTTCTCAATTTGGAAGAGCAAGAAAAAGGGAAGCAAAATTTTAGAGGCGTCCATCTGTGAGGCCCCTAGAAGAGCTCGCCTCTTTTGGGCTTCTTATCCATTACAGCGTGGGATCAAGCTAGTTTTGGGAATTTCCATGTCGAGGAGCGCCTGAAACTCACTATCTCAAGAGCGATCCTGGCCGAGCTAGCCTCTGTTTTGATTGAGCGAAAGAAGATGCGACAGAAAGAGATGATGGCGCCTTGTAAGAACTGGGAGAAAGAGATGATGGCGCCTTGATCTGTCATCACCACCACCTCGAAGGGGTCGAAAAGGCTGAAGGAAAAATGAGATGCTTAATACAGAAATTGAGCGTCCCTGTCAAAGGGAAATATGGGGAGGAAACGAAGGCAAGTTCTTCCAGATCGAAGAGCTCGCCGCTCGGAGACTCGATCTCTTCAAGGAGGCGGCCTGGAGAAAAAAAAAAAAGAGAGAGAGGAGCATATTCGTGGGATGGGAAAGAATGGAGAGACGATAAGTTTATGTTGGGGGAAAAGGAGGCGCCTGGCCCATGTCCATTCACAGGCTTAATGGGAAAACCCAGGTCGTGAAAGCCCAGGATGCAATGGAACGCACAGTCAAAAGCCGGAAAAAGAAGTGGATTCACACGGGAATCGAACCCAGGCACGCGCTCCAACGCCTGAATTGAGGCGTCTGAGACCACTATGCTATAGCTGAATTTTGGAAATTCATGCGCCTTTAACTAGTCAGTGTATTCTTTAGGCGCCTTATTACAAACGTGCCAGCTTGCACAATTGAAGGCGCCTCCTCTCTACCTTCGTCATTTGAAGGCCCACACGTCTGAAAATGGGTGTCTCATCTATTTTCAACCGAAGGCCCAAATGTTTGAAGGCCCAGGCGCTTATCTTATTTAGAGAAGAAGAAAAAAAAAAAGACACACAAGATGGGCGTCGAACACACAACCTCATCATTTAAAGTCGGGTACGGTGGCCATCAAGACCAAGATGTAAGGAAACTGTTCGCGTTTGTAAAGTCATCTGTGCGCCTTGACACATTGTTGTGGGCGCCTGCTATTGAGAGGAACGCATATGCTTCAACAACTTGATGACATGCTTGCACCTGTGAATTTAAAGGGAGCGCCTATCTTTTATAAGAATTGCTTGCATGGGCTTCAGAGCACACTTCAAAGCTAAGTACTCGATTTCTGTTCTTTGTGAAATTTAATTTTACTTGCACCAGATATTTTGGTTTTTGCGAAGTACTCGTCGCACTCAAATTTAGCGCCTTTCGCTGGAAATACAATACGCGTCCAAAATTAGCGCCCTTGGTTGGTAATACTCGCCGCGCCCGAATCTAGCGCCTTGGTTGGTAATACTCTCCGCGCCCACATTTAGCGCCCCTGGTTGGTAATACATTCCGCGCCCAAATCTAGCGCCTTTTGTTGGATATAATCTCCGTCCAAATTTTATGCCATTGATTGAAAGTACTCTATGTGACTAAATTTGCCGTCTGTGATACTCGTAAGGCCTCTAAATAATGAAAGGTACAAATGGCAACATGGCATAATGTAGGGAAAAATATCATGCCCACTGAAGGCGCCCAGGTATTTGGGGTGGGAAAGTAAAAGCAGCGGCAAGGCTACAAGGGAATACTTCAGAAGATAAGGCTTTGTGATATGATTTTATGAAAGGAGTGCTAGTGTTGTCAGACCAACTCGACAGTGGAATTAAGATCCACCATGATTGGCTTATCCGAGCGCCAAAGACTTACTAATCAAACGCTCCAATTCTAACCACTAAAGAGAAGTCTCAAGAAATAAGCTAAGTCTTTTCTATCTCTACTCAAGTTATATTCTTAGTTATTGTATGAATGAAATTATGTTGCATCATTTAGAATATTTGTGATCCTTTCTTTGTGTAACTAATACAGTAATAGGAGACATGAACTGGGGGACAAAACACTAAAGGATCTTACATGAAATTTGACTAGTGTGAGGACTTTAGTTAGTCGTCCAGTGTACCACTGGGCGCCTAACTGGGGGACAGTTGGGGGTAACATGTGCATGCGCATTTGGGATTTTTTCTAAGGCAAACAAATCTTTAATTATGTGCCGAAAAATGTCATAGCCTTGTTAGGCATCATATGTGCAGTAAACGATCTTAGGGATAATTGGAGGGACAACATGCAACTTCAAAATCTTGTCTGGAGAAAATGAATCTCCAGTTAGGTGCATAGGGCGCCATAACCTTGTTAGACGTCGAAAGAGAAGTAAGTTTATGTGTAAGGTAAATAAGTCCTCAACCGGGAGCCTAAAATGTCGTGATTTTGTAGACGTCATGGGAACAATACGTTACTTGCCACAATTTGAGTTAATTCTTCTATGAGTCATATCATGTTCTATTGTCAATTCTCTGCAAAGTTCTTATTTCGAGATTGTTCGGAAAACATGATGTTGGGGGACATGAGTCAGCTAAGCCAGGAGACAAGATGACGCTTAAACAATCAAGCGTGCAACTCTAAGTTCGTAGTAAAGCTTGCAAGGCAAAGACTTCTAGTTAGGCATCCAGTATGCTACTGGATACCTAACTGGATACCTAACTGGGGGACAATTGTTGGGCCATTAAACATGGCTTAGCCCAACCCAAACCACAACTACAATCCATCAAGTATGTATGGGCCCAAACCCACAAAGTATCTTCATGATCCTACAACTAAAGCCCACACGAAGAAGGCAAGCTTGGCCTATAAATACACTACCAAGCACTCCAAGTAAGGGGGCTCTTCGGCTCCTCTACTCACTTTGGATATATCACTTATCTCTCTACAATCTCTCTCTACATAAGATCTCCTTATTTCTCTATCATTGTACTAATGTTGATCGTCGGAGTGTAGATAAGGGGGGGGGGGGGGGTCATCCCCGCCCTTTCACAGATCCGGCGCCCTTCTTATTTCTTGGCTGAAACAATTACCTATTCACTTTTCGCATACATCATACATGTTAATTTATGCGAAATCTTATAGCGTTATTGGTATTCAAGTCATAAAATGATTGAAATAAATACCATCATCTTAATTTCACCAATCACAAAATGAACCAGACGAAAATCTTAGCGTTATTAGTATTCAAGTCAATCCAACCCTAAAAAAAACAACAAGAAAATGAAAAAAAAAAAACAAAGTTAACAAAAGCATCCAATTACGAACTCCCCCTCCCACACTAAAAACCCTACAAATCTCAACACCTCTACAACCACCCAAGCCGACCGTCATGCAAACCATAATTACAAACCGATGTCCCAACCAAAGCTTTGAACATCATTCAAACCCTGACGAAGAAAAGGCTGAGCTCCGGCCCGCTGTTCCCGTCCGGGTTCATCATGTAATACGTCTCGGAATCCCTCGACCCGACCACCCGCTCGAAATGCGCCCGCATGTACGCCAGCTCCCCCTCCGGGTGAACCTCCTCCTCCTTCTCCTCGGGAATCACCCCGGCGCCCATGGAGACCACGTGGAGCGTCCGCATCACGCGCAGGTCCTCCTCCGTCGGCTCCCTCTTCACCCCGAAGCCGGACTTCTTCCCGTTGCAGAACATGGTCCAGATCGGCTCCTCCATCACTTGGGTCTTGTCCCCGCCGCTCCTCTTCTCGCACTCCATCGCGATCCGCACCATCCCGCCACCCATGCTCTGCAGCAGCTTCCCCGTCGGCAGGCCCAGCTCCAGGAGGACCACGGGGAGCGAGCTCGGCGTCTCTTGGATCGCCAGGTTCACCCGGGCCCTCTTGTGCCCGAACAGGGTCCCCGTCATCCGGGTCCCGTTGATGTGTCCGTCCTGGATCCGGGTCCCTCCGCCGCCGCCGCCGGTCGGGAACTTGCACGCGGCCGGGGTTATGATGGGGAAGGACCGGAATATCGACCGGACCTGCCGGAGGAGCCTCCTGGGCCGGGATGGGTTGCTCTTCTTTCCGCTGGGTTGCTGCAGGGAGACGACGGCGGCGGCGGGTGGTGGTGGTGGAGGTGGTGCGGCGGGGGGTTGGGTTTCCGGCGTCGGCGGGCGGGTCCGGACTGGAGGAAGGTTCGGCGTTGCGGCGGCCATTAATGGTGAGTTTGGTTGAAATTGTGTTGTTGTGATGTGGAGAAGCTCAGTTGGGTTATTTATTGTGTTGAAGATTGATTTCTTTTCTTTCTTTCTTTCTTTCGTTCGTCCTGCCGAGGAATCCAATTTGTGGGAAGCACGTCTGAGTTGCTAGTGGTGGTGAGTTGATTTCTTGCGGGGTGTAGAAATAGAAAGTACGCGTTGTTTGAGTTTTTGATTTATTCTTTTTTTTTTCTTTTGCGAAGGAGTTGAAGCTGGTTAATGTTTTTTTTTTTTGTCACGGCAGAGAAACAATTGTTTGCTTTGCGTGGAGAGGGAGAGAGGGCAAACAAAACATCAACCCAGTAATTAACAATTGTTTAACTGAACGGTGCACAAAAATAGAAAGAAAGAAAGGAAAAGAAAAGGGTTTTCAGTTCAAAGAGAGTAGAATGGTTGAATTGAAATGGGTGGGGGAGAACTGAGGAAAGGTTTTCTTTGATGGATTAATAACTGTAAGTACTGTGGTTTTCGTTGGATTTCTGGGTTTGGAGACAGTACTGTAAGTTTTCTTTACCGTATATAATGGGAGAAGAATGAAAAATTGGAAATTAAAATAGATGACGCGCCAACAAAATGTTTTGATCGAATATATACAATCTTAGACTTAATGATATATATATCAACAACTAATTTCCCAACTTATGATAACGGATTGGGTTTTAAAACTTTCTAGAAAGTAGAAATGTCAATATAATGTTAGATATCGTTAAAAAAATTATTAACAAATTATATGTTTTATGATGAAGGTACACATAATTGTAGCTAGTTTTATGTTAATTGTTGTAGGAAAGTAATCCACTGGCCAACAACATTGGGTTGGATTTGGTTTCTTTCTTCTTGTCGAGAATCATAACAATGTATACTTCTCATTCTTGTTAAGAAGAGTAACAAGGTACGGGTGGACATCAACCAGAAACAACGTGTTTTTCCTGCATTTATGTGTAGTTTAAAGTGGAACACAAAGCGACACGTGGGGCTAGGGTTTTCTGGGTTATCAAATAAATAAAAGTGGAACACAAAGTATTGATAAAGCCGGCCGGTCGGACCGATCTGGCCGTCCGGACCTATAAAGCCGTCACCCGGTCGCAAATCCGGCTCGGGACAGTCATTTAGCCGCTACGATTTTATGGAGCGGCCGGCGAGCGGTTGAGGTGGTTAACCGCTCGAGCCGCTCAAACCGGTAGCTCGGTTTGCCTCCTTATGGTCCAGGGGCGGACCCAAGGGGGTTTGGGACACCCCTAAATTTTGGGAAAACGATTATCCAACCCCAGTGGTAATTTACGTACGAACAAAAAATTATAATTGATAGTGAGGGACACCCCTGGAATTTAAAAAAATGATTATCCTAATCTCATTTTTTAGTTTGTGTATGAGAATATAAGTGGTAGTTTGGATAATTCAAACCTAGGACACGACTACTATTAATAAAGATTATTTTCATTAGGCTACAACTCATTTATTGTTCGATTTTAAATACTGTGTAATAGTAAATTGACATTTCCTATCTCTAATTATTTTCAAAACCTAACAATTAAGCTAATTTCAAGCTACTCATAATTTGTATTGATTTTATGGTTGTAAGACAAGTGTTGAAAGAGTCTTTTTGGCATTGGATTGCATCAATCGGCTTTGGGTTGCATCAATAACAAGTTTAAGAATAGTTATATAAAAAACAAGTTTAAGAATCAAATATGCTATAAGTTCGTGAATAATTGTCTAGTAAGATATACAGAGACAATTTTTTGATCAGTGTAGACACCAAGTGTATTCTACAATTATTTCCGAATATGAAAACACATCGTGAAATTTTGTTAACGTCGTACGAGTCAGGTATTTTCTTATATAAGAATTATTTCATTTTATTTTATTTTAATTTACTTTTTAAAAGAGGACACCCCTATGAAAAATTCCTGGGTCCGCCACTGTTATGGTCGTTGTGTTTAATAAAAAAAATTGAAATAGAAAATCGAAAATTGAAAACAAAAGGTAAAATCGTGGGGCTGGGAATAGGGATGGCAAAAATATCCGTAACTATGGATATCCGCGCGAATCCGACCTAATCGGGTATGGTAAAACCCGAACCCGAAGGACTTTTATTGGGTACGGGTAAAATCTGAACCCGAATATTGGGGGTATTGGGTGGGCATGATTTTCTCACTATCCAACCTGAACCCTCCCGATTATACACATGCATATGTATTTTGTCTACAAATAATCAATATTTTTCTTTAACATATTTTATATTTAGCATATAAATCTAATATTTTTATAAAATTGTGTTGTTTTAATTAATTTTTTTCATATTGGTTGGAGTTATAACTAGAAACTATTACCCATGGATAACCGTGGATACCCGAAACCCGAACGGATACAGACACAGTTTGGATTTTCTACCCGTTTCTCATGTGGGTATAGGTATAGGTAAAACCTGAACTACTTTGGGTAGGGTAACGGGTATGCACTATCCAGCCCCGACCCGACCCATTGCCATCCCTAGCTGGGAAAGAAACCCTAACTCTAATTTAGTCTTCGTCTTCGACTCTTCGTGAACAGAGGGAGAAGAGCGGCGCCAAAACCTTGCCGCGGTCAACACTTCCTGTCGCCATCGTTGCCATCCCCAGTCAGTGTAGCAGCTCCTAGTTCGCCATCACCAGTCTCCATCCCCGTCCCCTCTTCCCATAGCAACTCCTCCGCTCCGTCGTCACTTCCCGTCCCATCGCTTCCCGTCGCCATCCTCAGTCCTTGTAGCCGCTCCCCGCTCGCCAGTCCCCGTCCCTTCTTCCCGCAGCTGCTCCTTTGATAGCCATTGCCAGAGGCTTGAATCGAGCACTGCCCTGCTCCGGCCGTCTCACCCCTTTTGGTACTCATGTTTTGGAATTGTTAAGAGTGTAATTTACTAATTTAGTCATGGTTACCATGATTAAGAAGTGTCCACTATTTATACTGATTGTATATTAGGTACAGGTTTTCTAATGGGTTTTAAACGGTTTAATGCCGGTTGTACAGCTAAAGACCGAGCCGTTCACGTTATCGGGTCATACTCCGATTCGCTTTTGACAACATTCGTTTAAAGTGGAGCACAAAGTATTGATGTATCCACCTTTGTGTATACCAGAAAATGGAAAGGAAATGTATTAGCTAGCCTATGTGTTTAGGCATAAAATAGGGTTAATTGCATGATTGGTCACTGAAATTACAAAAAACGTTCATGTTTGGTCACTGGAAATATTTAAATCCAATCTTGGTCACTCGAATTAGTTAAATGGTTCAAGTTTGGTCACTCTCCGTCCAACTCCGTTAAATTTGTCTGATGTGGCAGTCAACCCTCAAAATTGACTGTTAACTCAATGACGTGGCAATTAGAAAATAATAAATAAAATAAATTTTAAACTTCTATCATTTCCAACTCATTTTCACAATAATAATTATTTAATTTGTAACTATAATATTTTATTTTGTTTTGTTTTACTTTCTTGTGAAAATAAATAATCGCATCTAACTCTCCTCCTTTCTCTCCCGGCAATTTCCCTCAGCCGTCACCAACCACCGACGAACTATGATGTCACTGAATCTCACTCACTCTCCAACCCCCGCCGGTTTCCCCGAATCCACCACCGGCCACCGCCACCTCTTTTCCATCCCCGCCACTTTCCCTCAACTCCACCGCCGAAACCCCTCTCTCATCTCCGCATCCGCAGCGACCAATCTCGATTCCTCCCAGCCCAATCAGCTACCCCCAGATCTCGCTTTGCCGTCAAATCGGCGGCGGCGGCAGAAGGGATCAGATCATCTATCCCGGATTCGAATTCGAATCCCAAACCCGTTAATCAAACCCTAAAACTCGACACCGCATTCAGGCTCTGGTACTTCCACAACGTAATCTTCAACATCTACAACAAGAAATCCCTTAACGTCTTTCCCTACCCATGGTTTCTCGCCACATTCCAGCTCTTCACCGGCTGCATCTGGATGCTGGCCAGCTGGTCAATCAACCGCCGATTCCCCAAAATCTCCAAGGAGTTCCTCCTCGCCCTCCTCGGCCTGACGCTGTTCCACACCGTCGACCAGATCTTCGCCTGTGTCTCCTACTCCAATGTAGCCGTCTCGTTCACCCACATCATCAAATCGGTGGAGCCCGTCTTATTCGTCATCTTCTCGTCTTTCCTTGGCGAGATCTTCCCTCTCAAGGTATGGCTCTCGATCCTCTCCATAGTCTTCGCCTGCTACATAGCCGCAGTGACCGAAGTGTCCTTCAATTTGGGAGGCCTCTCGGGGGCCATGATCAACAACTTCAGCTTCGTGCTCAGGAACATCTAGAGCCTCCAGAATTTCAAAGAAATCGACGGGATTAATTGGTATTATTGATTTGGTGTGGAAGGCATGTGGTGGTGCGGAAGGGATGTAACTATAATAAATTTTTTATTTTATTTATTTTACTTTCTTGTGAAAATGAGCTGGAAATGATAGAAGTTTAAAATTAATTTTATTTATTATTTTTAATTGCCACATCACTAAGTTAACAGTTAATTTTGAGGGTTGCCTGCCACATCAGACAAATTTAACGGAATTGGACGGAGAGTGACCAAACTTGAACCATTTAACTAATTCGAGTGACCAAGATTGGATTTAAATATTTCCAGTGACCAAACATGAACGTTTTTTGTAATCTCAGTGACCAATCATGCAATTAACCCGCATAAAATATGTTTAATTAGGGGACTTTGTTACGGTGACATGCATGTCACTGTAACTTGCACTTTTAAGTCGACCTTATATAGGATTAGGTCGACCTAATCTCCAAACCTCTTTTGCAAAAGAACAGTGCAGGAGCAAGTGAGCAGCAGACTCAGCTGGTGCGAAACAAGTAGAACAGCAAACTCCATGAACAACCATGGAGTTGACCTTATAGTTAAGAAACAGGCAACTGCCTACCACAATGCAATCTCATGGTTTCTTGAGGGGTTTTTAGTTATCGAAGAAACAAAAACATGAAGAAAGTGGAGAAATAAAGCTAGCCCGTATTGCTTATGTTCTCTTCTCAGCCCAAAAGGGTGACGAAAACAGTTGACCTTATTTTCCAGCCGTCGTGGAAGTTGACAATCGAGTTTTAGTCTCTGCTAGGGGAATGAATGTCTCAAATCTCGAGTTTCTCAAGCTTAATAAAGTTATGGGTTTTGACTTTGAACATTGTGGGCAGCATGTATCGCGGGGATACGCGGGAAGAACAAAAACTCAAGACGCCATGACCTGCATTGACTTGGAGGTTTAAATTAGTCGCTATTATATACACCCTACTAAAGAAACAATGAACTGGAACGACTACATATTGAGAACAAATCCCTTCTCTCTCTTTTTATTAAGTCAGAAGAACAAATTCTTAACCCAGATGTATTCTGCTACCATAGAAGTCTATAGAGAAGATTCACTTCTCCACACATGCCCTTCAAAAAACCAACTTTGGCTGGTGAAGATTTTACAGCAGGCCTAAAATCTACTATATATCACTACTAGTACGACTACCCTCACAATACTAATATGCACATAACGCGTGGAACATTCTTATGCGTTGCTGGACTCTTCACCAAGCCCTTCGTCACTTGCTTGGCGCCCTGACCTTCTTCATACTAGTTTGCCACAGTTCGTGACAAATGCCTGCCTGACTCTGCTGCTGCTGCTCCCATGTATCCTCCATGGCCAGAAACTGGAACCTCAGCGTCACCATGAAATGACGGGTTGTTAGGCGCATCGGTGAAGTATTGTGGATGGCTTGACTGCAGCACGTTCAGGTCCATCTTGTTAAACATCATGCTAGCTATGGATCGGTCAATGGAATTTGTCTCCTGTTCCATTCCTCTGCCACCAGACCTAGTGTTAACAGAAGGGTTACCCGGCATAGGTTAGTAAGTTGGAAACAAAAAAATAGCAAATGGAGAAACAGAGTTGCTTTAGTTGCAGACAAGGTGAAGCTTATGAAGACCAAAGAGCAAACAATGAAAAGTTCTGAACTTTGCATGCTAATTTAATGAGGTGCGACACCTCCCATGCTGATCAATCAATAAGCATCATTCAAGAGACCAAATAAACAGCTGGGAAAGACATAAGTACCTTGATTCCTCAACTTGAGCTGTCCATGAAGGAATGTCCATGGCAACATCTTCATTTGCTACTTCATGGGGTCTTGAGTTTTTGGCCAAACGATACAAGGAGTCACGAAAGCATATTCGGGTCTTTGTAGGCAACTGATAGATTTAAAAAGTGCAAAACATAAATATTGTTACCATCTGCAATTTCTTTAAACTGGTAAAAGACTCTTGACTACCATTTATTGACATTACCTGTGCCATCACCAGTTCGAACTCATGTAGAGCAGACTCCTCCCTAGATGGTTCCTTTAGTAGTTGGATGCCTTTGCAGTCTTCCTCAGTTGGTGTTACTGATACAGTAAAAGGAGGTACCTTGATAATGGATTTGAAATGATTAGTATAAGCTGTATCATAGATGAGGGGTAACTACATAAGCTTTTAGCATTGTCACTAAGTAGATACTCGCTTGACTAAGTCATAAGGAAAATGAAGTTCGACAACATGATACTTGGGTGAGAAGACCATCCCCAAAATGTGAGATAGTTAAGAGTCGGCCACAAATGTTCCCTTCTTCAATGTACTTTTGTTGGCTCAACGAATTGCAAAAACAGAAAATTATGTTTGTATCTAACAAGTGAGTTATATACATTTGGCATCCTTGGATGACATGCTTAAATTAGCTTGTGAGAAAATGTCACCTTTAGTTGATGAATAACTGATTTCTCCAAGTCACACGGACTGTACTGTGACGATGCAGGAACTCCACCATTGCTTGATATTGAGTCTGAATCTAAAGCGGTGGCTTCTGTCCAGAGATCATCAACAGCAATCATGCAGTTTTGTGACTCGGATGAAAAGCAAGGAGAATTCTGTTCCATCTCTTGCATATCATCAAGCAAAGAACTCCTACAAAGAACAAGGATGAAAACTATGAACAGCTAGAAGACAAGGCTCTACCAAGATCACTGGATCAAAGAAGTAAATTAGTTTTATGCCAGAGGTTAGGATTGTACAAGAAAAGATCATCCATAGGCTCGATCCCTGAAAGGCCATCCAGATGACAATCCGGCTGCCTGTGAAAAGACTCGTGGCATACCATTGCTCCTCCACCGAAACTTGAACAGCTAGATTGATCCCTGTCTGGGATAGTACTGCATTCCATGTCGAATTGATGGTTAGCAGAAGTATGCGTGTCAGATCGGAGCTGTTCCGGAGATAGATTTGTAGGGGATAGTAAGTATTTGTGAGAATAGTCGTTGAAGGTATTGGAAGCATTTAGTGCCCAATTTGACCAACTATCCGGTGACTGGAACCCATCAGAAAACCCTTGATCTTTAGGAACAACAAGATCATCGTACCCAAAACATCCATTCATCACGGAAACCTTTCCTACAACAACAAAACAATAGTACCCAAGATCAATAAGCATTCCCCAAAGATACTCAACAGGCATAATCAGAATCAGAGATGGAAGACCAACAGGCAAGCTCATCAGTTTCTTGGATCTAAGTTTAGTAGAGAATATTACTCCTTCATCCTAGAACAACTAGACACTCAAAACGGAAAATCCCATATGAGAATTGCAGTTCTCTCGGAACTTCTTCCCTATCTTTTCTCAACAACCAAAAATTCTAAGTGAAAAAGAAAAGATGAGAAGAAAAGGAAATCACATCCTAATATGCCAACTCCTTTAACAAACCAAAGGGGAAACCAAAGCCTTAACAGATGGACAACAGGGAGCCAACCCTAAGCAAAGAAGTGAACAAACCTTGAGGGGAAGGTGGATCAATCAATAGAAATGAAGGATAACCCAGTTGTCGATTTGCAAAGATAAGGCGCCGAACTCAGAACCCAGATGAGAAAAACACCCAGAAATGATAAGAACCGTCGATCAAGATATGCAAGGGCGGCGGCTCTGATTTGCTCCGGTTTGAAAAGCTTTATAATACAACCCCAGCTAGCTGCAGGCTTCCTAGTTTCAATACGTCGCTGAAAGTTGTGATAATTGTGTAGATATGAAAGTTATCGTGGGCGATGGAGTCCAGTGTCGACACAAGTTTGGGCTGCAAATGGAGTAAATCCTAGAAATTGTATGATAAGAGAATTTGGGAAGAAGAAAGTTAGGGACAGCCCCCACTAGGGTCTGAGAATTTGTGGCTGAGAGCTAATGACCAGAAATTTGTGGCTGCCAGCGCTCCATCTAAATCTGCTCTCTCATTCGTCCACGTGTCCAGGGAGCTAGTCCCACCACTCGGGTTTCCGGGTTGGGGAGGATTACCGGTCGTTTTCCCGTCTGGCTGGGTGGGTCCTGTTTATGTGGGCTCCACGTGCTCTACATGTTCCCAATCCCAACCCCCAATATTTGTATTTTCCCCGAGGGGCGATATCCCCAAGCGTACGCTGTCCCTACCAGTGGGGGTAATTTGGTCTATTGGCGGGTGAGTACGTGGAGTGTATATCACAGCAACCTAGGAACCCTGGCGCGCGCGAGGGAGTTTTACTTTCGCCTTGACACGTGGACACATGCAAATGATCCGCTTTGACGCGTGTGTGCGTAGCACAAGATACGGGGACATCAACAATTGAGTCTGGATCATGTTAGTAACATTTAAGTTAAAGTAATTATAAGGGTTCATAGCTTAGTTTGGCCCGAATTATACACAAATTTTCTATTTTGGCCTGTGGTTTATGAAATTGTTATTCTGGCATGAACTATGTACCATACTTCCTAATTTGGCACGGAGTTGAGTTTGACCGTCAAGTTTGACCGTCAAATTGGACGGTCAACAGAATTGACCGTTAGTCAATGACCAACTCACCTGCCACGTCAACGATCACAGAATAAAATATTTTATTTTTTGAATTTGTTTATTCATTTTCTTTTCTATTAATAATAATAATAATAAAGAAAAATAAATAAATAACCCCACATTATCCCCTCCCCTCTCACCTTATCCTCTCACATTTACTTAGGGGTGTTCAAACGGTGTGGTTACCGTGGTAACCATTTTAACCAGTACTATTTGGATAATTTGGTTTGGTTAATTTGGATAATTGGTTTGGTTTGGTTAAAGTTTTTAGCTTGTTTGGTTTAGGTGATTTGGTTTGGTTTCAAACACTCCTAACCAGTCAAACCAAATTAACCAGTTAAGTAATTAGTCATATATCTAATATATATTATATACACATACTTAATACTTTGCATAACCACTCAAGAGTTAAACGTTCATCCCT